GCCCAGCTGTCTTGTACTTAAATGACACAATCCTAAATGCATTCAAACCTGATGCACATCCCTTTATTCTATTTTCACGTTAGCCTTTAAAATATTGTCCCTTGGCTGCCCTATTCTCATATGCTTTATGCTGAAGCAAATCTCTTAAATTAAAAATAAATGCTTTTTAGTTGTTTTAAATTCATCACTAAATTATTTAGAAACTATTAATGGCTGCTATATTTGACATAGCAGGAAGGCTTATAGATACTGGGGCTGGTTTCTCCCTGCTCCTTCCACCGTAACCTTGACATGCTGCACTGTTCCCAGAGCTAAGCAAAAAGCTGTGGGCTGGGTCAGGCACGCAAATGGCCCAATCACTCTGGGCCTTAGTTAAGGAAAATGAGTATGTTCCAAAAGAAATAAATATGCAGAACTGGCTCCTCTAAGCAGTGTAATGGGGGGCATTTCAGAGACTCTCTCAATATGGTTTCCACAGATGAGTTGAGGAGCATTTGAAGGAGTGATTAAAGGATGCTCAAGGTACCTCCTTAAGAGTTAAAATAGCAACAGTATCAGAAGGAGAATTCGGAGGGAGGGAGACTATGGATTTTCTCTGGCTCTTTCATATAAAATATTTTTAGATCATTTTTAGTTTTCTTTCTGATTTCTGTGAAGGAAATTGTTTGAAGATATTTTCTACATTAAAATAAAATACTCATTAGTCCCTTTAGCAGTGAGTTTTTGTTTCTCCTGATACAAGAAAATAACCATCACGTAAGGAAGGCAAAGCTGAGAGTCCTCAAGAGTGGGGGTCACATATTATTTCTGTAGTGACCCGGCCTGAGGACAGCTCCTAGAACAGAGGAAGCACTCTGTGAGCGATGATGGGCTGTGGTGAACTTGCAAGATGGTTACTTTGGAAAGCAATTCTGTTACTAAGACCTGACTTAAGCATAAGCCCTGTTTATTGTGACACTTAACATGCCTGGGCCAGGGTTTCAGAACTAGAGTCATAGCTTGGAAATGACAGTCTAGTTGGCAATCAGTAGACAAGTCACATTTCTCTGCAGCTCAGAAAAAGAGGACTTACTATTAATTCCAACCTCAGCTGAACAATGTAGGAAGAGGAGTTGCCTAGAGAGTAATAAAGAGGTGATTGGAACCCTCTTAAAAAACAACACTCAATTTTTTTCTAATAGTTGTTAAAAGATGGGAATTGGACTACTACAGAGCTTAAACAGCAAGAAACCTCTCTCTCTGTCTCTTTCTCTCCCTATTTACCAGGGATAGATATAAGTAAGTAGGACTTAAAGCTTATACAATTTAGGTGCCATTTTAAATAAAAATAATAACAAATTACCAATATGAAATGGCTAGGGCCCTTCCTGTGCAGTGAGCGGCGGTGGAGCTGCAGCTTCATTAGCTCCACCATCAATTCACCTCTGCTGCTCACATCTGCTTGGTAAATGGGCGCGTGGGATATGAGTGCCTCGTCTTCATAGACACACATCTCCCCTTACATTTTCTTGGAGAATAGCTTTTGAAAAATATACCCTGGAAAATAAGTTTCTAGGCATCATCAATCTATGTCTGTTTCCTAATAACTTGTACCAACCAACACAAACCATCCAGAAAAAGAAAATATGCCAAGCACAGAGCTTCCTTCAAGAAATTGTACTGCAGGCTTGGCCCTGATTGAAACCCTCCTACAAAATAACTTGGCCTCAGAAAAGCAGCCAGACACAATAGAGTGCATGCTATATCACTCACGTTATGAAGTTCAAAACCCGTCAAAATGAATCTACAGGGCTATACATCAGGGCAGTGGTTATCCTTAGGGGCAGCAGGTTAGACGAGTGTTTTAAGTATGTGAATATTCACCAAGCTATGCGCTGATAACTGAGCACTTCTCTGCAAATGTACTATACTTCAGCGAAGACTTTAAACACAAGGGTAATAATAAGTTGGCCTACAAAGCGTGTGTTAGCACGTGGGCACACAGAGGCAGGATTTTTTGTCTTCTAGATGTAGTCAAGCAGAGTAAACCTTAAAGGCCAAGTAGACCGCCCTCCGTATAAATCATTTACCCTCTCAGGGGGAAAGTTTTCAGGTCCTACATGAAGTTTCCTTTCACCTTTGCAGTGCCACTGTGAATGTTGCCAAAATACAGACGATGGATGCCCTGAATGACACACTGGAGAAGGTGAGCGGTGGGTGAGATGTATCGTGGGATGCTCCCAGACAGTACTCACCCAACCCTCAGGTTGCATGGGTGAGCAAGTCGGTGACCATTGAGGTTTCCCCAGCTCAGAGGTTTGATGTCCTTGTGAAAGAATCTGCCTTCAGTCCGAGGAACACAAAGAGGTCTTGGTGAGAAAAGCTGTTTCTCCCAAATTCCTAGTGTCCATTTTATAAATCACCTCAAAAATAATACAGAAAACAAAGCAAGAACTAAAGTTAGAAAATAAACCAAACTGGCAGAATTTTACTTGCCATCCCAAATATTTCTCGGAGACATTGGCACGTTTTCATAAAAAGGCAGCCTGTGTATTGGGAATTCCGCAGTTCTGACCTTTCTCCCCACCACCCCCATAAGGCAGAATTTGATCTGAGGTGAGTGCGGGTGGTGGAGGGCTGCAGTTCAGGGCGGGAGGAAGGCTGGGCACTGGCTGGCTTTATCCAGTGAAGCTTGTTTACAAAGGTGGTTGACCACTGCTATTTTTATTTCTATATCTGGGATTTCTTCTGAGTAGCTCAAGAAACTAAGAAAACTTATCAGAAAGACAATGGTTTGGTTTCGTATTCAAGAGTTTGTTTTTCAGTCACATAGGTGAGCTGAGTGAGAGTCCTGATTTTATTTCTAGGGGGCAGATACTTTGCATTTAAGGCAACGAAGAGCCACTCTTTCAGCTGCTCCCACATTTATTGAAGGGACAGGACTGGGCATCCTTTATAGAAGGAAGACTTGCCGTTACTGCCAGAATTAGGGATCTGAAAAAGATTAGAGCAGAAACTGTGCGCCTAGGCCTCTGAGTCCCCATCTGGCACCGGCCCTTCCACTTACTCTCTGTATGACCCTGAGCAAGTTACTTATCCTGTGCCTCTGATTTCTCATTTGTAAAATGGAGAAAAGAAAGAGAATACGCCTGAGAGTTTTGTTGTGTGGAATAAACGAGTTCATAGACGGTAAACTCTTGGAACAGCGCCAGGCACGGAGTTGCCTGTTTGCGCTCTGCTCTGGCGAGTAGCACTGGCGTCATGGAAGTGAAATAAAAGGGTATGTCCGTGGTCCATGGGAGGTTACAAGGCAGAGTACAAGACAGGATCTTGATTACAGAGTGTAGCTACAGAGCCTTCTCAGGTGGGGCCTGGTTCTCCCGTCAAATAGATTCGAGGTGAGGTCTTAAGTGCCTCTTTGCCTTGCTGGCTTTACAGGAGGGACAGGGATGGACGAGGCCCTGCCAGGGCAACACAAGCTTCCCGCTCCTGCATCTCACATTCTCTTGCTCCTGCCCACTAAATGCCTCTTCCTCAGGGTCGAGAGAATGCCACAGTTGTGAGTGAAACTAGATGGCACATTCCTCTAAAATATATGTTAACCCAAAATAAAATGTTTAAGGATTGTGATCAATAAAGGTTTATTATGCTGTGTGTTAGTTATGATACAAGGGTTTATGTTGTTTTTTATAGACCTACGTCCGTATGTCTATGACATAGAGAAGTTCTTTCACTTTCAGTTAAAAATATTAATTCTTTATTTCAAAGATAAAAAGAAGACTCAAATAACAAAAGTAATAATAAGCTGTATTTGGAATAATAAGACAACAGTGAGATAGTGTGTTGTTAGAAATATTTTTAACAGCAACTATACATTTAAAAAGAAAAGCTTTTCCCTGGCTGGTGTGGCTCATTGGCTGGGCATCGTCCCATGCCCAGAAAGGATGCCAGATCGTTTCCCAGTCAGGGCACATGCCCAGGTTGCAAGATCCCCAGTAAGGGGCATGCAGGAAGTTGCCAATCGATGCTTCACTCTCCCATTGATGTTTCTCTCTCTCCCTTTCCCTTCCTCTCTCTTGAAAAATCAATAAAAATATTTCTTAAAAGAAAAAGTAAAACTTTAACACTTAGTTCAGTGTTTACTGAAGTGGGAATGTGGTTAAGACTACATAGATTGCTGGCTAAAACAGTCTCTTGCATCAGACATCAGATGCCTGGGTCTTATGCTGGCTTTGCCAGTCACTAGCTAGCCAGTCACTAGTGTCCTTGGGCAGGTCTCTTCACTTTTCTGTACCTCTGTTTCCTCATCTGTAAATGGGAATGTGATTAATAGTACCCACATCAAAGTGATATTGTGAGAATAAAAGGAAGTTATAAAACATGTGCAAAGTCCTTAGCACAGTCAGACACAGTTAGCACTCAGTAAGTGTCAGCTTCTAGTCCCAGGCAGATATCCTAACAGGGCACTATTTGAATTCCTGGGCAAAAGATAAAAGGCCAGAAAATCAAGTCCCAAGATTACCATAGTGACTATCTTGAATATGGAAGTTAGGGGGATCCACATATTTCCTTACAGCTAAGAAAAATCCTCCCTGAATCCATAATTCAAACTGACATGCAATAGGATTTCATAATAAAGGTTAATCTTGGGTAAAAGGACCAATGCCTTTTGAAAAATAGATATGTTGCAATCAGTGGTTGTCAGGAGTTGGGGGTGAGTGGAGGGGTTGATTACAATGAGACAGGAGGGAGTGATTTTTGAGGTGGGGAGGGGTGATGGAATGGTTCTATATTTTGAGTGTAGTGGTGGTCACAGACTATATATACTTGTAAAACTGTAAGGGATATATTTTACTGTAGAAAAATTATACCTTAATTAAAAAAAATAAATGTGTATAAATTATACATCTCATTCCAAAAAATTAAAAGACATAAAGGATATAGAAATATAGCTATTTGCATCTGCTGGTAAATTTTCACCTGTATTACAATGATTCCCTCCACAAAATATATTGTCACAAAGACCTAACAATATGCAATTGGCCAAAAGAACTACAGTAGCAGAAATGAGGGTCCTATCCTCTGCACTTATTAACATTAATTCATACCCTCGGCTAGAATTCTGTCTAGTTCCAAGAATCCATGCTAATTCTCATACCAATTTAAGAATTTAGAGTCTAGGATTATAACAATTGTGGTGGGAAATTTCTATCCATATGCTGTTTATCTTAGGATACCCAACCTAGGGTTTAAGACTGGGGACATTGAAAAATAATCCCCAAAATGTTGGACTGTACACATCTAAGTGGGAAGCAGCCTAAAATTTCCCCTCCCACTATCTCCCCACTCCTCCCTGCACACAGACCTCTGTCCCCACTGCCTTTCCCCTTCCCTCCCCACCTCTCCAGCCCTAAATAATAAGAGAATTCCTGTTTCCCAGTGACAGACCACATGACATGTATTCCTAGCAGAAAAGGAGTTATGTAAGCCTGAAAGCTCTCTAGGCTAAAAATCCGGAAGACCTGGCTTAGACCTAATTCCATCTACTCCTTAGAGATTGTTTAACCTTTTAGAAGTCACGTACCGTATCTCCTCTGAGATTTATGATTCCTCATTTACTTAATTTTTTAAGGCAGGGTTGAGAGAGAATGGTACTGCCAAGGATATTACTTCTCTGGATAGTTATGGAAGTTAAATTTGGCATTAGTTGTGAAGCTTCTCAACATGAAAGTATCCAGTTAAAACATTAGAACAGAGTTGGGTTACTATGTGGAGGAGGGTGGAATGTTGAAGCCCAGTTAAAGTTGGGGCCACTTTTCAAGTTGCCAGGTGCATCACCAGTGCCAAAGTTAGTGAGATGGATGTGCAACAGGATCCTGGGGGAGAGGGAACTATCAAAGGCACCTGCAAATCTAAAAAGGTTTCTCTGGTCCTGTGGATGAAGATCACCGTAGGAGTAGCCTTGAATTTCACTGACTCAAGCCGAATGTTTTGTTTTTAAGCACTTTACTTAACGGGGTGTGGAAATCTAAGTGCCAAGTTGGAAGTTAACACCCTGGAAAGATGAATGGAAGAGCTGCCCATCTACAATACCACCTAACTTCAGTGTCTAAAGCAAAACCTGCCATTGATTTTCCCGCATCTAGAATTTCTTTCACAGCTCCAGTTGTAAAGACTTTTAACATGCTTCTTTTGCTTTTTCTCTGAAACCAAAAATATAGGTTCTGAGGTCACAGCTACCCAAGATGCAGGTAAATTCTCAATGTGGGAGTTTCTACTGATCTGCTTTTCAAGTTCAATGTGTTGGCCCTTATGTGACAGAGACACGGTGGGACAGAGCCCTCACACATATGCCTGCCTTGAGTTCTCTCTCTTGCAGAGTTACCCTGGATTTTCTTACCCTAATGAATCAGACAAGAAACATCTTTCTTTCTACAAACCCTATCATTTTACAAAGATGAATGATGAAGAATCCCAAGCTTCCCCAAAGTTAAGGCGCCAGACTGAAAGCACAATGGGCTGTAGATTGTATTCTGTGAAGCTATTCCTACGTATTTCTAGTTCAGACTTGAAAATAAAATCTTCCCATCTGCACTGATATAAAATCTACAACACAGAATTAGGACATTGAGGGGCTGTTTTATTTACAGTTTCAATTCTAATGGAAGATTCCTTATAGACTCTGTACCCACAATCCCCCAAGTCCTTCTACATTAGGATGTTCCTGATGGAGGGAGAAAGTCAACTTGACTCTTGTTGTATATACCAGGGTGTGGCAAAAGTAGGTTTACAGTTGTGAGTACTCAAAACGCAGAGTTAATTCTTGCATTGTTACTTATTAATTATTGGATTATTTTCCATGTGAACAATTGTAAACCTACTTTTGCCCCACCCTGTACAATAGGTGCTAGAAAACCCTGTTCCTGCCCCACCCCCCAACCTGTAGATTTGTAATTTAATAATTATGGGCAGTGTTTCTAAGGCTATTTATTATCTTTGCTCAAATTAATTTCCACTTTCTTCTCAATCTTGTTGATATTTTTTTCCCTAAACTTTCCCCAACCAGATATAAATGGCCAATGAGCCCCAGAGGCAGCCTCCTGTTCATTCACATCTGTGGCATTTCCCTTCTGAGAAGCAGTTGAGTAGAGCTTTTAGAATCTCAGTTAAACACCTTGGTTAAAATGTAACCCCTAACTCTTGTGCATTACTGGTGAGAATGGAAAGTGGTGCAGTCACTGCAGAAAATGGTGGTTGGGAGCCACTGGGGAAGGAGCAAATGAGGATTTATTGTTCCGGGGGTGCACAGTTTCAGTTTGGTATAATGAAAATTTCCAGAGATGGATGGTAGGGAAGTTTGCACAACAATGTAAATGTATTTAATGTCTCTAAATTATACACTTAAAAATGGTTGAAGTGGTAAATTTTATGTTAGGTGTATTTACCACAATTTTTTAAATGATCAAAAAATGCAGGCCCTAAATTGTGGAAATAACCCTGGAAATGAATTAGTGCCACATTAAGCAATGAGTGTGTTCCAACACTCTCTCCTTTCTGCTCTGCTTTCCCACCTCTACCTATCAACACGCTCACGCCGTAAGAACAACAGTCAGCATCGTGGCTTCCTCTCTTTAGTCTCAACTTGTCATCTTGCTCCATCTCACCTTGGCGAATTGCCTAGGTTTCTGTTATGTCATAATTACTTGTTCATTTCCTTTCTCCCCCCACCCCCTTACCTTACATTTACATTCAACTTGAAGTAACTTGCCAGGTTGTTCTTCCTACCTGTAGTCTCTTGAATGTGATTTTAGAGCTAACATGAAATAACCCATCTGTTTTAGTTGACACTAAAGGCATCCAGTCTGGGAGAAAACTACTAAAGTCAGTGACCTCTTAGGTTTCCTTCTGCTTCTAATGTTAAAAGAAAAACAAAACAAAACACTCTGCCTTTACCATGCTATAAAATGCATGTCATGTAGCCTGATGATAACTGAGCTGACAAAAAAAAAGTCTTCAGTTCTTTTTTTTAAGATTTTTCTTCCTTTCTGCTAGAATGCCAACATAGACTATCCTTGGGTTTAATTATTATATAACTTATACTTGCACATTGTAAAAGAACAATTTTAGAAAAATACTGATAGGCAAAATAAAGAAAAAGACTAGGAATTGCCCATAATTCTCTCCCTCAGAGATAACCATTGTTAACACTTCAGGTTATGTTCTTCCAGTGTGTTTAATTTTTTAAGGCCAAGAAGAAAGGACTTTCTAGTGTCAAGTTTCACATGAAAGGGAAGGCTGTATGCCTAGGGCTCAGGGACATTTGAGAAGAGATATAAGGCACCTATGTTTTCCTGACTTAGCAGAGCCCAAACAAACCATAAACAATGTAATGCTTGGGGTCATGAACAATTTATCTCCCCTTTTATTTAATTTGAGTGTCAAGGCAAGGGCATCTATGTTCAATAGTGATTCAGTTAAATTCCTAGTGAGCTGAGCTATCCCATCCTTGCTTGCTAAAGAAGGTATCCTTCGATACCCCTATATTTGTATCAATGGCTTGAAAACCAAGAACTGGAATTGACCCAAAATGTCACTGGGTCCAAATTCTCTTCCTACGAAAATTATGTCTGAAGTCCTTGCAGCATTGAGCATCCATTTGATTTTAAACCATCCTTGATGTAAATTTCTTAAGGTCTTCTGGTTCTGTATGAAAGTGCTCTTATTGTCAAATAGTAACTGTCTGTGTTCATTTAAATCTATTTAAGCCTGTTTCCTCATACATGTCTTCTGTGGAGATGACTAATGAGAACTTTTGGTGCTTGAAGCTAGGAAGTCATTCCTCAGCCTTCTCTTCATCATACTGTTTAGACTGAACCATATGAAATGGCCAATATTACACAATTTTATACCTATTAAAATAGCAATTTCACATGTTTCAACCTAATAAACAGCCCTAACTCTTCCTAACATCTTTCAGAGGTTCTCTAATTTCTGATCTTTTGACAACTGAGAGTTTCTTCCCCCTCAGGACTTTCTCAAATGTTCCCATAGCCTTCTTAGAATATAGTGATCCATATTTGCATACTGGTGCCAAAATAATTGCTAATATTAGACGACTGATGCAGAAATAATGAACTGTGTCTACCTTTAAAAATGTCACTTCAAGACATAGATATGGATATACATATACATTATGTAGATTATTTTAATATAATATATTTTATAATTTTACAAATTAGAGATAAATGAATGAGGGAAGTCCTAGGTTAACACACCATGGTCCCAAAGCTGGAAATGGTATGGGAAAAAGAGATATTATCAAAGAAGTAAACAAAATTGTGAAATTTCCCTGACCAACTGTATTGCTTTATTCTACTTTAAAACTTCATAGCCCAAAAGATCCAATATGATTACTTTTTCTTTCCTTCTCACATTTAGCTCAGCCATAAATTTCCAGCAGTAGTGCACATGGCACATGAAAAACCCAGACCCGCTCTGGAGAAGGTCACGCCAATGAAAAAGATGTACATTATCCAACAGCCTCGGAAATGCTAAGCTGGGACCTAAAACAGCCATCTGCCCAACTGCCTCAAACATCTGACACCTTAGCAAAAGGACCAAAACTTTCCTTAGGCTTAGTGCACTTGCTTGGTAAATAAAGCAGCTTTTGTATCTTCTCTTTGGACGTTCGATAATAAAGCATCCAAAACTGTAAATCCAATGTATCCTGGGGCCTCATGGCTTAGGGCAAGATCTCATTGATATTCACATCAGTAATTCTGTTGACTACATGGAGAATCCAGAAGACTTGACTCTACTGCTCTACCTCCTCGGACAAGCTCTCTTATCCTTGATGCTGACCCTGAGTTGTTCCACCCACAGTGAGTTCTTGAAGGCAAATTTTGAAGAGGAGTACACTGAGCTTTGCAAAGGCCAATATTCTATGTAAACATGAGGAGTTATTCTTCTCAGTGTTTTGTCTTAAGATGCTCAAATTTTCACTTGAGGTGAAATGTCTTTTCCAGTTTCACACATAAACACATAATTTGTTTTGAAGGTTTAGTGATGGAAAATGAAAAAAATTAGATTTATTACAAACCTATTCTCTTCTGTAAAGCAATCAAGGATGGGAAGTCAAACAATAGTTTCAGTAGGAGATTTGCTCAGGGCCTCCCAAAGGTTCATGCTCTAGAACTGAAGGGATTACAGTGTTGCAGGGTATTGTGGTTGGAGTGTAGAAGTTGACTTTAACTGGAGGTGGGAATGAGAGGGAAAGTGTTCCCATAGCTAAACCTGCTCTAGCTCTCCTATCCTGCACACACACACACACACACACACACACACACACACCTTCATACACTCACATGCAAATAACCAAGAGCATCCACAGGGAATGGTTGGGTACATTCTTTTACCACAGAGGTTAGCTGTCACTCACTATTCCACCATTCTGAACCTCTAATTAATACTGTTATCCCACCATTCAGCACTTCTCTTTACCCAAGGATGGGATCAGCACTCTAGTCTATCACTTTACAGGTTGACAACCGTTGGAGTATGACCTGGTGCCAAGCCTGTCTCTGATTCCTGGAACTCCAAAGGCACCTGGCTAAGGCCAAGTGGTCATAATGATGCATCCCCCCC